AGGAGCAGCTCGTAGTAGCACAGGCGCCAACGCAACTCAAGAGCTCCAGATTACGCTCAGTCAAACCTTCCCCATCATGCAGGTAAACCGAAAACATGTGGTAGCTGAGACCACCAGGAACCTGAATGATCCCGTGAGTGGCCCGACCAGGAACGATAGCGTGTCCAGAAGGGGGGGGAAACAGACCAAGCCAGCTTTGCACAAGCAAAGCAGTGCCCCCTGAAGTGCCTTTATCCGTGAGAGTAGCTGGGGTCCACAACGATTTCCAGCCATTACGGGCACACCAGGAGGAGGCCTGGGCAACTTCTTCACTACCCGCCAATTTGTGTTCCTGCACCATCAGGACCGCTGAAGGCGTGTGAGGTAACATCTTCTTAAGGGTGCCCCAACTGTTGCAGTTGAGAGTTCGGACAGACAAAGCGATCGAGCTCATCCCTTCAGGCTCCAGGAGGCCAGGAGGGGCAGGGTAAGAGCACGGGAGGGGAGCCTGGGAGATCCTGGGGCCTGGCACCACCTCAATCGGGTACTGAGAGCCAGGCGCAGCTAACACTGGGTAAGCTGGGCTAGGCCGAGCAAAATCGGCAGGCTTGGAAAGGGTAGCCTGCAGGGAGTCGAACCTCTGACCATCACCAGACAAAATTCGTTTGGCCCTCCAGCGAGTGTGACGTACAGCAGCCTTCAGGCCACAGCCTGAGGGACACGCACCACGGGAGCGGAGGAAACGACGGAGGTGAGGCCGAGAGGCCGAGAGACTAAAGTTAGACAAGTAAGACGGCTGGCCCGCAAAAGCGGGCCCAAGACCGTCGATGTGGCTCGGGCGAGAGTGGTCAGGCTGTCGCGGTGCCCCCCCGCTGCCCCTCGGCTGCGGGGGGGGAAGCCTGTGACAGCAGGCGTTCAGCACGAGCTCGAGCATCTGCGCGATCAGGATCTGCCGCAACGCTGTCCCCTGGCGCCTCGGCCTGGGGGGCTGAGGAGGCAGCTCCAGCAGCAGCCCCGCTGTCGCCCCCCGCGGCGGCGGCGGCGGCAGGAGGAACGGGATCCCCGTCTCCCGCGGCTGGCTCTGCTGCTTCGTCTCCGTCCTGGCGCCTCCTCTTGGCAGCGAGCCTCTCGAGCATGTTCTTCTGGTCTGCCTGGAAGGCTTTGGCCCTGACCAGCGCATCTCCGAACAACTTGCGAACTGCATCCTGAAGAGACTGCTTGAGCTCCTGCGCCCTGCGATTTGCCTCCTCGAGGTCATCGCCCGCGATCTCGTAGTCGTGCTGAGGAGTCAGCAGAGAGTCGATCGAAATCGGGATCTCCTCAGCCTTGCCATCATCATCATCATCATCATCAACAGCAGCAGCAGCATCAGCATCCGCATCATCATCATCGTCGTCGTTATCATCATCAGCATCAGCAAGCATCAGCATCAGCATCAGCATCAGCATCAGCATCTGCATCATCAGCATCAGCATCAGCAGCATCATCATCACAATCATCATAATAATCATCACGTTCTTCTTCATCATCATCATCATCATCAGCATCATCATCAGCATCATCATCATCATCATCTTATCCCCCTCTTCCAATGTACAAGCACCCCCGCCGTGTTCTGATTGCGCATTACGCGATGGGGTCATTTCGAGACTCCAGGTCATGTAGGACACCCCAACAGGCGTATGGAGAATCAGCGCATTGGGGAGGGACGGGCGCGAGGGGTTGGATATTTGATATGGCGCGAGCAGGTCTAGCTTACTCTCTCTCTCTCTCTTTTCTCTCTCTCTCTCACTCTCTCTGTGTATTAACCCTCCCTTCACTCCTCCCTCCTCTTCCCTCATTCCCCTTATGCCGACCAACAGCGCGAAGGAAATTCCAGGCGGACGTGATTCTCATCAATCTAGCAAACAATATGTTGCCTCACTTCGATAAACGGGAACGTGAACATAATCGATCCCCGGTGGAAAGCTGCTACCCCCAGAGAGAGAGATTGAGAGCTCTCTCTCCATCCCACCCCAACTACGTAAGCCCCCCCCCAAAAAGAGGCTCTCGAATAGTCCCCACCAAAGCGGGCTCTGCTGTAGCTGGTGTTCGGGCTCGCTGTCAATGATTGTTATTCGCACGGGGCTCTGGGGAGGCTTTAAGGCCCCACTGTGTTCATTGAGCTCTGGTTGCCCCTCTCTAGCATCTCCAGGCGTATCCCTGCTCCCCATTTCCTCGGTCAATCCTTGTCTAACCCCCTCCCCCTCTTCCCCTCATCGAAAATAATCAGCAAAGTACAACTGAACTGTCCGAGGTCGCGCACATTTCTCGGATCGCCGCTCGGCACCCCTCCCTGGCGCGCTCCGCGCGCAAGGGGCGGTACCAGAGGCGCCGCCAAGAAGGTCCAACGCCGATCCGAGAGACCCGCGAGGACCTCCAAAAGCTCTGGTGTGTGCAAACTGTTGCTCTCGGTGTGCAAACTGTTTGCTCTTCGATCCTTCCCCGAGCCTCGCCCAGCGGTGCCGCTCGCCCTCCTACTACTCCTCCTCCTCCTCCCCCCTCCTCCTCCTCCTCCTCCTTTCTCCTCTCCTCCTCCTCCTTCTCCTCCTGCTGCTCCTTCTCTCCCCCTCCTCCTCCTCCTCACTCCTCCTCCTCCTCCTCCTCCTCCTCCTCCTCCTCCTCCTCCTCCTCCCCCACCCCCTCCCCCTCCCCCTCCCCCGCCCCCCGGGTGCCGGTCTCCGATCGGAGCGGGGGCCCTTCCCCGAGGTACCGCCCCCGCAACTTCCCCCCTCCACGTCGTTGTTTCTGTTCTGCGCGGGTGGCCCCGCGGAGATCCGGCCCCCTGCAGGGCCCAGCTTTGGGGGAACCAGATGGGTGCTGTGGCAGGCCGCGCAGGGGCCTCGGAATCCCCAGGGCCTCCCCCCGCGGTCCGTCACCGCACGGTCTTGGGACCCCAGAGGCCCCAGAACATCCTCGGAGAACGGCCTCAGCCCGGAAGCTGACGCTCCGGATCTCCACCGACCCTCGTCCCGAGCCATTTTTCAACGGCCCGCAAGGATCCGACAAGGGGCTCCAGAGGCTGAAACTCTGTCAAAGCCTCTTGTCGTGGCCTCCTCTCCACGAAATGAGACATGACTTTCGGGTCATCGGGTCTCCAGCGGCTGTTCGAGACGATCCAGGCCCACCGTGAAGTGGAGGGCCCTCGGCGAGGCGCAGCTGGCACCCGAGGCTGGACCAAAAAAAACATGCGCGAACCAACGAACAAAAAAACCCGAGGACCTCGAGCCTCGAACGTGCTGGACGCCAGTCTGGGTCGAAGGCCCATCCCTGCACGAAGCGCGGGCCATGACCCACGCCTGGAGGAGGAGGAGGAGGAGGAGGAGGAGGAGGAGGAGGAGGACTTTCCCGACTTTCCCCCCAGGACGACGTCCCTTTCCGCTCCTGCGGGCCTGCTGGCGGAGGGCGCGGGCCTCCTCTCAGGTCTCGTCGCCGTCCTCCAGAACGGTCCCGTAGTACTCCGTCCGCCCATGATCGTAGCCGTGGGGCTGCTTCGTAGGGCCACTTGCCCAGGCGATCGACCGTGGGGCCGTCTCGCGGGGCGTAGGTCTTCCCAGTAGGTGCCGTGGGGCTGTGCTGCTGGGGTCGGTTGTGGTTGTCTGGTCAGCTGATGTCGAGTCCTGCTCTTCGTGAGTCGTTGTGAGATGGAGGAGGAGGAGGAGGAGGAGGAGGAGGAGGAGGAGGGAAAGGAGGGGGCGGAGCAGGAAGAAGAAGAAGAAGCACGCCGAGGCGGACCAGTCACGTGACTAACGACTCGGCCCAGCAGGGCGGCGCTCGGGCTCAGCCTAGCCCATTACCGCTTGCGCCACCTGCTGGGCCCTCCTGTGCCCGAGCCAGCTCCCGCTGGCGCACTCTCTCCTGCAGTGCCGCCAGCCGCGATTCGTACTGATACGAAGAGGCTGGGTTGGGCCGCGCGGAGACACTGGTCGTCTCTCTCCGAGGGGCGCGGCGTGTGGGCGCCACTCGGACGGCAGGAATCACAGAATCGATGGAACGCTGGAGCTTGCGATGAGGTCCGACGCCGCGCCTCAGGTTCCGAAGAATCTCAAGACCCTAGGGCGTCGGCCTGATGCAAGGTGACCTCAACTTGCTGCGGCGCCTCTGTTGGGCCCACGCTCCACATCTCGTACAAACAAAAACAGGTCGATCCACACTATCCGAGACCGACTCGCACCGTTCGCCAGACTGGTGCACAGCAACGAGACAGTGGCCGTTCGGCCGAGCGAAAAACGCACTGAGGAATGCTGGGGTTCCCCTGCAGCCCACTAAGGGCCAATCGACAGCATTGCCATGCAGAACAGAGAGGCAATACTTGCACTGCACTCCTAACTCCGTCCTACACCAATCATGATGTCCCTCAGCCTCACGTTTCTACTCCTCTTGAATATCGGTGCCCTCCTCCACCTCTCCTCCTTCTCGTAGCAGGGCAAGGTGGCGGAGATTAGACGCACAAGGTTCCTCGTCGCCTCCTCGTGCAGCTCAATCTGCTTACAGAATTCGTGACGAGGAGCGGGGTGAAGAGAAACAGCCATCTTCGCGAATCTGTCAGCAGCAATGTTCGCATCTGTTATTCTCCTTTGTTCAACGTTTAACAGAGCATACTGTTCGCTCGTGCGATGTGCTTTAACATGTTCTGCTGCTGTCAGATATTCACGACCAGGAAGGCTTTGACCAAAGACCTGAACACATGCATAAATGGAACGTGACTCTCTCTGGCGCTGAGGAGACTTCCGCGCCTCGAAGACAGCGCCAAGGAAATCAAAATACATGGTTGCAGGCCGATCTGCGACTTGGCCACAAAAAGCCAATCCCAAATACTCGGCAATCACTGATGTCCGGGGCAGGGCAGGTGGAACAGCCCCATATACTGCAAGAAGTGGATCTGGGCCAGACGGGCTCAACAATGCGATTGCCCATCCTGCCCTCTGTAAATCACGAAGAGCGGGTTTGCTGCAAGAACCATCTGGAGCAAGCTCGATCGCCTGCGCCTCTGGACATGCAGACTCCACCATCTCCTCAGGGTTCAAATCCTGCACCTCTCCAGCCATGTTCACGACGAATGCTTCATGACCAGGTGCCAGTTGTGGAATCTCCTCGTCGATCGCCTGCGCCTCTGGACATGCAGACTCCACCATCTCCTCAGGGTTCAAATCCTGCACCTCTCCAGCCATGTTCACGACGAATGCTTCATGACCAGGTGCCAGTTGTGGAATCTCCTCGTCGAGATATTCAAACAATCCATGCTCAAAAAACCCCGAACTGTGCTCATCAATGCCTCGTTGGATGAATTCGGGAGGTACCTCAGAAGAACTTCTGGCAGCCACCACATCACCCCTCATGCAAGTGAACAACCGGTGATGTACCGTATCTGGAGCTCCGCAATCACAACGGCCGTCCGTCTGATAACCTTTGCATCTCGCCCGCTCACGTGTCCATATGCCACCGAGCGCGAATGACTTGACCAGGAACTTCTGGTATGAGGTGTACTTCGAATACTTCTCCCTCACGAACGGCCGAAGAATATCATAACTTGATCGCATGCCAGCTGGAAGCCCTCTCTTGGCAGCCAAGTCGAGCTCCAACTGTCTCTGTAATGACTCAGTCAGCCGCTTCTCCAGCATGCCTGGTGTAAATTGTTGCAATGGCACTTCAACTCCTCGATGGTCAAGCCAGACATCCCACTGCTTGATTGTCCAACCAACCCTGCGGACACAAAGAGCAGCTCGCTCAAGGGGCCCTCGCGAAGACGCCCACGCTAGATTCTCGAGCGGGCGGTCCTGCAGGGCTTGTGTCCACCACGTTCGGAGCTGCTCCAAAGAAACTAATGCCGTCTCTGGTGCCAGGACTGCTTGCCATATCATTCTTGACCACTGCAGAGCTGGGGCAAGTGCTTGGCGCGCTGACGGATCATCAAAGAGTACAGCCTTTGAACTTGCTGAAATCCCACCGTGGCATGGTTTCACGAACTGGAAGAACTGTCTACGTAAAGCACTCCATTCAGAATCTGACAGGCCTGTTATCTCCACGCCGAAAGTCAGGGCTGGTCGCGCCCCTGTTCTGAAGATCTTGCCTGTCCTCTCGTACTTCTTGGTGGGGATGGCCTTTCGATACCGAGCAATTTTCTTCAACCGATGTTGAAAGCGTCGACGTCGACTCTGTTGCTTCTTCCGCGTGGCTGCAGCTCGTCTTGATCTCCCACCAGCCTGATCAGTTCCAAGATACGTAGCTGCTCGCTTGTTGGAAGAAGACTCGAACCCCAATCTGTCAGCAACCTTGTCACCAACTCCAGATTCGGAACATACGATTGAGAACTTGTTATTGAACTTGGCCCCCAATCTCGTCGCAGTCGTCTGGAAACTGCGACCAACCCTCACAGCAATCTCGATCAACTCATCTGTGGTATCCGCTTCGATGCCTAAGCTGCTGATGTCAATGTAAGACGAAAAATGCAGTTCACTGTGCAAAGCCACGAATCTGTCGTACTCCTCCAACGCATGTACCTTGATCCCCACATCCGCATATGCATCACCCGCTGGGAATCCTCGCCGAGCGTGGACAGGTTGAAGGCAATGGTGCCTCATCAATCGAATGATTCGTGGTGCCGACCAAGTATTGAATAATAATTTCGTCAAACACGTGGGAGCTCCATATCTAGAAAACTTCTCCCTCACCGTAACTAAGTCAATGGTCTCATAATACTTGCTATAATCAGCAATGATCTGCAAGCTCTTCCTTTTATCATGTACGCAAGCTTCGACACGAGCAGCAACCTGCCACGCAGAATCGATAGCGGATCGGCCCGACGAGGCCCCCCAATACACACGGCGTAGGAGTTGCTGGAGTGGTGCAAGCTCAGGTCGACGAAGCCGTTGCCATACACGATATACCGATCCGTATAAAACAATAAGTCGATGTCCTCCCATCGGCTTGGGGAGCATAGGCATGCAAATCCATGACATCTGCTTCGGTAACATTCCCAAAGATTCGAATGCTTCGAACAACATGCCAAGAATGCCGAGGCTCTCATCGCTCAAGAGCAGCAGGTGTCTAGGATGCAGACCGTCCAGAGACCCTGCAGTTGATGTGGAAAAAGTTTGAGCGACGGCCCTGATGTCAGCAGCAGTTGCTCTCGGAAAGGAACTCCTGTCTGGTATCCATGCTTTGGGCGCCACGGAGCTAGCATCCCACAGCAATCGATACTCATCTGCAGTAGTCTCGACAACAGCGTGTGGATGTGCAGACGGAAGCCCGTCAGCGGTGACCACCGTCGTCTCGTTGACCTGATTGTACTGCGTAATCTTGTGCAAAGCTCGTGCGCCTCCTGCTGCAGCTTGATCGCACCAATTTTTCCAACGTGCTTGAGATTCTCTTCCAGCTGCCTGCTTCGCAAACTCAACGTCCTCGTCAATCTCCTCAAGGAATTCAGCAATCTGCTCTGGAAAGAATCGACCTGCTACCAATCGTCTAGCCTGTGTCACACCTGCATCCAATCTCGAGCATAAATGAACCCCAGGATACGGTGACGTCTGAAAAAGCATCAGCTCGTCGTCAAGCATCGCAGCTTTCTCCTCATCGCCATTGCTGGATGCCTGCTTCAACAGACTGAGACCTTGCAAAGCATCCGAAAGCCACTTCCATCCATCCGCTTGTGCAGCAAGGCCTTCCGCATCACTGCCATTGTACGTCGCATCGACCCACTTCGGCTTGATGCAGCGCGCATACGATCCAGGACACTTGACTTCCTCACCTGTCATGATACCAATTCTCTCAGCAGCTCTTGTGATGAAACTTCCCCAAGCCAAGGTAAGAAAACCCCATGCAGCATCCGAAGGTGACTCCTTGGCCATCTCAACCGCTGTGGAAGCATACCTACGCTCCAGTGACCAATCAAAATCCTGTTGGGCGGGCCCAAACACCGCGGTTGTGGGAAGCTTTGGGACTGCAGCATACGTCAATATCTGAAGTCGATGTCCGTCAGCAGCCAGTTCGATTTGCACAGGGCGGTGTGGCTTGGTTTCCCACGTAGCATCTACCTTTATCTGCTTCAGTAATCGATGTGCCCCCACACTGAGACAAAAGAAATCAATCGTACTCGTTGATGATGCCGTCCTGCACGTGACCGATGCTGGAGCAACAATTTGCACTTGGGCAGCCCTGGCGAACCCTGAAGACTCAAGTGCCGCCTTGTCGAGATTCCAGTCACCACCGATGATGCTAGGCGAGGTGAGCCCAGCAAGGGACTGCCCAATGCAAGAAAGAATCCTTGAGTTGCGCACAGTCAAACCCTCAGAACAATGAAGGTACACATTGAATATATGCATCTCTGGCCAACCTGGCACATCAACCACCACATGTAGCGCCCTGTGGGCGACCAGAACTCCAGAGACATTCTGACCATCAACTTGAGGGCGTCGAAGACCAACTTCAGCACGTGCGAACACAGCCACTCCCGCAGAGGGAAGATGGCCCTTGGTCTCATGCCCTGGTTCAATGATAACGCTCCAGCCACGTCTGGCAGCCCAAGAGGAAATCTCCTCCGCATTGTGTGAAAAGTAACCCAGCTCCTGTGCCAACACGATTGTGGCTGAGGTTCGTTGCAATCTGCGTTTCAAAGTCTCTCGACCTTGATTGGCATTGAACGTTTCAACTAACCGAACCTGCTGCTGGCCAGTACGTGGTGCGGGAGCAGCGCGCGTCTTACCTTGAACAACAGATAATCCACTCACCAATGGACGGTTGCTAAAGGTCCTCTTGATCATCACCAACTTTGCGAACTTTCGTCTTCTGGAGAGCGTTGACCATCTCTGCAAGCTTAGCGGGTCGTGACTCTTCGCTCTCCTGCTGCAACTTGGTCCACACCTCTCCAGCTTCTGACTCGGACAAATCAATCTCGGGTGGTGGTCTCTTCTCGCCAGCGCCTCCACCTGCAGGCCGCTCAGCAGCAGGAGGAGCCACAGGCCCAGCATGAGTCCTGCCCTCCATGGGGTCGTCAACCGTCCCTGCGGGGGCAACGCTCTCGAAGATGATCTGCTGGAACTTCTCGAACTTCGGGTGTACGCTGAGGTCCTTGAACAGCTTCTCAAGCTCGGCGTCCTCAGCGCGGATGAGGTTGGAGCCCAGCTGCGTGATGAAACCCTCGGGGACTCCTGCAGCTTCAGCTCCCCTGGGACTTCGCTGCTTGCGCAGCTTAGCCGCCGACATTTCAACTTCCACTTCGAGTAAATCAACTTCCTTTGACTTAGCCTCGAGTGCAGCTTTCTTGCCATCCAGCTCATTCTGAAGTGATGACAACCTTGCCGAAAGTTCCGATATCTCATACTCCATCTTCGTCTTCTGGGACTTGCAGCGTTCGAGCTTCTGGAAGGCCGCCTTGTGTGCCGACGCTGGCGGGCGCATGGCTCTGTGCTCTTCACGAAGCTGGTCCAGTCTTTTCTTTGCCGCTGGCAAGTCAGGATCGTCCTCGTCCAGCTCCTTCGTCTGCTTGACGAACTGGTCGAGTACATCAATGCGCTTCTGAAGCGCAGCTCTCTTGGCATAGTCCGTCTCGTTGCCGTCGGGGTCCTTGGCCGTTGTGTCACCTCCGTCACCCTTGGCCGCGACACCCTTCTCAGCCTTGACTCTCTTGAGCTCAGCTGATAGAAACTCCATCTGCTTCTGCATCTGCTTATACTGATCACTCCACGGTGCTGGAGACTGCGTTGCACGTCGAGGCGCCGACGCAGGCTGCTGCGTCGCCTCTCTCGCAGCCTTCCTCGCCCGTTGGATGAATACCGTAGGTGCATCCTGTCCGCATCTGCATTTGATGCGGCTCGCCCAATTCGCCGATGCTCCACAGGCTGGGCACCCCCATGTGGGCTTGCGGGGGCCTGGTAGTACCGGCCCCGCCATGTGCGCCATCGGGGAGGTCCGCTCGACCTCGCCCACACGACACTCGTATTCTCCGTCTCAACAAAAGGGGGTTGCTCCTGCAGGAGCTCACTGCCACAATGGCTCGCTGCGGCGGTGCCGTTCTGAAGTCTGCCGCAGCAAGCTCAGGACACCTGAGCCAGAACGGCTAAGAGGAGAGGAGGAGGAGGAGGAGGAGGAGGAGTAGGAGGAGGAGCAGGAGCAGGAGGAGCAGGAGGAGGAGGAGGAGGAGGGCAGGGCCTGGCAGCTGAGG